ATTATCGTCTATCTACAGTAACCATACATGCTATACTTCGAGCAAGGCACACGTTTCATGTTATAACACCAGTTGAACAGAAAGCGAACACGATTCGATTACTTTTAATTATATAGTTCTTCAACGGTTAAATTCGCGCTGCCCTGTGCAACAACTTCCACATGCTTTAACCGATCTCACATAAATTTTCAGTCGAAATCGTTTGATAAACGTCATAAGACTGCTAGTCGCAATAGAAAGCCCGTCTCACTCTTTGCTTGCACACGTAATGTTTTAGGAAATACGTTGGATTCGTTATGCATTATACTGTCAAGTGATTTTATTATTTTATTGATAATAACGAGAGAGGTGAGTAAAATTAACCAGTTTCTTCGAGTAACTGCGAATTGTTCGAGTAACACGAGAGTTCCTCGAGTACGAGATACAGCGAGCCATATATGTAACGGCGCATTACACTTATCAGGTTTCATATGTCCACATTGCTAAAGAATTATACAGGTTCTTTCAAATACATGCTATATAATAAATGAAAATAGTCGATGAGAGGATCTGAGTCCTCCATACTCATTCACGGATGTATGCACCATTGTATAGAGAATGCACCGTCGAATTGGATTGGGGCGAACAATAACAAATGGCTTTTACCGAAAACGTATATTGTATGTGGACCGAAATCGTTAACACGATGAGACACCCACAGTCAGTCACGGTCAGACACAGCAGTGTTCCTAGTGAGTAGGCCTACAGTCAGTTGAGGGAGAATGAGTGCTATTACCAATAACCGATATATTCAATATATCTTTATAGTCGCCATGAGTTATATATTACTATCAATAGTGTATGAAACAACGCAAAGCGCCATGATTTATGGTAGGATTTAGCCTCGTTCGACATAACCTGACCCTATATAGGTAATTGGCGTAAAATAGATTAGCTATAACACTGTAACCTCGATGCCATACATTGCGTGTAGCGAAGAGTGAGATAAAAATATTTTTGATAGGATAGCTTAAAGATTCGTATATTTCACATCTTATGTAATGCCGAGCATGAAAGTCAATACTGCTAAAGCTAAAATCGTATAGAAACTCACGGGTTCGTTTCTCGACCCCGCCCGCCTGCAAATCGAACGAAGCAACACTCTCTACATCTCTATCGTCATCGTAGTAGTAAAAATTATTTATTAAATTAATAATCTTTCATTATATATTCATCGATACGAGTGAAGATTAATAGAATATTAGAATGGAAAAAGGACACACGAAGATATATATAACGTGGTGAATGAGAGAGCAAAAACTGTGGGAAAAAGCATGTATATTTTATATATATATATATATTTCTAAAATCGATCTCGTAGTTTATAATTCTTCGAGCAGCCGTGCCACACCAGTGAACGAGGGTAGCATACGGCTAAATCCCGTCGATATGCATAGAACGTGGTAAAGTAATAATCGTAAATGCAAAGTGAGGAGTTTACACGACCTTGACCTCTTGCCTCCAGTATGACTTTTTGACCTCACACGGCATCTCAGCAGCAGATACAGAAGCTCATTATTGCAATAGTACATTGCAAAATAGCATAGCGTTACATAACGTTAGTGTAATGTAACGTAACGTAACGTAGCTAATGTAATGTGATGTGACGTAATGTAACGTAGCTAATGTAATGTAATGCAATGTAATGTGACGTAATGTAACGTAGCTAATGTAATGTAATGCAATGTAATGTGACGTAATGTAACGTAGCTAATGTAATGTAATGTGACGTGACGTAACGTAACGTAGCTAATGTAATGTAATGGGACGTAATGTAATGTAAAGCTGGGTTTACACTACCGACTTTATGTTGGCGAATTGGCGAGTTGGACCAACTTTCCAATTTGCCAACTCCGAGTTGGCGAAAATAGAACATGTTCTAATCTCCCAACTAGTTGCTATCGATAAGTCGGTCGCGCAACTTTTGCGTTTACACTGCCGATTGTTCGGTCACTTGGGAAGTTGGTCCAATTCGCCAATTCGCCAACACAAAGTTGGTAGTGTAAACCCAGCTTAATGTAATGTAATGTAATGTAATTTAATGTAATGTAATGTAATGTAATACAATGTAACGTATTGTAACGTAACATACGGTAACGTAATGCAACGCAATGTGGCTGTTAAAACGTACTCCTGGCGGGAAGACTCCTGGCTGTATGGACATGAATCACACTTCCCAACCTCCCGCCATCAGTGACTGTTATCCCCACGCCACAACTCTCCTGCAACGCTAGCACTGGCCTTCCTATATAATACTGCGCACGCGCCTTATCACGCCCTCCTTTAGCGCCCTCAAGTCCTCGTCGACGTCCGCTCACCTTCCAGATGGCGCCACGTGTTCCATAAGCTCCTTTCTGTATTCAAATCCTAGTCGCACATATTCCAGATGGCTCCCTGCGCGTCAGCACCGCCTCGTTTTACGGAGGCACCCGATAGAGGGCGTTCCGTGGGCGAGGCGGCGGCGGCGGCGGGAAGGGAAGGGGAGGATGGTGGTGGGCAGACTAGAACCTCCAGCGCTTGTAGAACTTCTTCTTGAGGCGACGCACGCGCTGCTTCAGCTCGCGAGTCACACGACTGATGCGCCCGAACCACTCGTCGCCTCGTTCGGCTTTGGCGAGCACGCCGACGATGAAGGACTCTATCTCGCACTCGTTCTGTCCGCGGATGATCTTGAAGAGACCGCGCTCGCCCCACTCCTCGCCCCACGAGTTAGCGGCAAGCTGTGGCAGAAGTAAGAGAGAAAAAGACGCGTTGAGAAAATGTGTAGCGATAATGTTTTGCCATTTTTGCATTCGTTTGTAAGAAGATGTTAAACAAAGGTTCAAAATAATGCTTATTTCTTTGGGTAAGGTTCATTAGTAAGAGACAGCGAGAGATAAAACGACAGAGAAAAAGGAAGAGAGGGGAAGACTGTGAGTGACTGAGAAAGAGAGAGAGGGAAGAGACATAAAGAGGGTGCGAGAGAGGAAGAGAGAGAGAGAGAGAGAGAGAGAGAGAGGGGGGAGCGAGAAAGGAAGAGAGAGAGGGAGAAAGAGGCAGAGTATGGTAATTAGTAAGCAATCGACAGAGTTACATACCCAGTATGGAATCGACCGTCTCGTCTGTCTATCATAATCTTCTCCCCATCTGAAATACAATTATGAATACATACAATGCAGTAATGTACCCGTTCCATCATTATTTGCGCGGAAGTAAAGCCCATGTAATACGCAAGCTTGCATTCAGATAACCCTCACGAGGTGTACGTTTGTTTTCTCTCCTCTACGTTTCATTTATCCTATTATTTATTATTTCATTTGCAATTTACAAACAAGACTTTACACATCATTTATCATATTTTTTACTCCCTACAGAGGAGAAAGTGGTTGAATCGGTTAGAGCGTGAGAATTAATGTGATCAGGAGTGGCATAATATAGATGTGTGTGTGTGTGTGTGTGTGTGTGTGCGTTTGTGAGGCGGCTTGTCAGGCGCCGGAAGAGTGGAGATAATGACGGCGCTGCTGAGATCGTCTGCTATCAGCTATGGCGGGTGATAATTATTATTTCGAAAAGCAGGTTGCCGCCGAGCTTTCCGACCACACTTTGTGCGTGCGTGCGTGCGTGCGTGCGTGCGCGCGTGAGTGCGTGCGTCTAGGTGTGTATTTTTTTATATATCTTGTGTCACCTTATATATATATATATATGTATATAGCAGTATATAATCAGCACCTCATTATTATTATTGGGCTTTATTACCTTTATAATGGTATCCTATGTAATTGATGAAATATATATATATATACATATATATTATTAATATTATTATCATGTGTTATTATCTTAATAAGGGTACACTGTAATTGATGTAATATAACATATATATACGTACATACATACATACATATATAAATTGATCGCCTAAATTATAGCACAAGGTACATGCATACGTTATTTCTCAATCAGCACGCGCTCATGAAGAACGAGTGATGCTAACGGTCTGGCGTCGGCGACCTTGACGATACAATGATACAATCAAAAATTACACTTGGGGACCTGTAACTTCTGCTGTTGGTGCTGCTGTAGCTGTTGCTGTTGTTGTTGGTGCTGCTGCTGTTGCTACTGCTGTTGCTTCTGCTGTTGCTGCTGCTGATCGTACTTATGCTGTTGTTGCTACTGCTGTTGCTGCTGCTGTTACTTCTGCTCTTGCTATTGCTACTGCTGCTACTGCTCCTTGCTGCTCCTGCTGTTGCTGTTACTGGTATTGCTGCTGTTGTTGCTGCTGCTGCTGCTGTTACTTTTGCTGCTGCTGTTACTTCTGCTGTTGCTGCTACTACTTCTACTGCTACTGCTGCTACTACTGCTGCTGCCGCTACTACTGCTGCTGCTACTGCCGCCGCCGCTGCTGCTGCTAGCGGTAGGCGACACCGCTATAGCTACCGGACGCAGAAACGATGATGTTATTGTTATAGGGCATATAAGTCACCATCAGTGTATCGCTGTTATTGAGCCGTCAGTGACAGCCGCCGACGTGTGGCTCCTCTAGTCTTCCTGTCATATATCATTATTGTGTTTTATTCAAAAAACAATGTAACAATGTAAAACAATGTAATAATATAACAATGTAAAACAATGTAACAATGTAAAACAATGTAATAATATAACAATGTAAAACAATGTAACAATGTAAAACAATGTAATCATATAATAATGTAAAACAATGTAACAATGTAAAACAGTGTACGAAGGTGACATAGAAGAGGAGTTCTTTGTCAAGCATATTACGACTCTGGGAGTGGGTCCACTAGGAGGAGCTAGCTGCCGGGGCTTCGGCGAGAAATGTTGACGTCACGTTGCGCACATTAAACGACTAATTAGAATACCGATTTCATTCGTCAGTTATGCTTCGTAAATAGCGATTCAAATTGCGCATGAGCACATCTAGACTTTCGTGTAAAAATACGGTTGGTCATGCGCTTGCTTACCCTGTCCTGCGCATGAACCACCACGAGTTTTCGAGGGCACCTGGATCAAGGCACGGGTTCTTGTTCTTGCGGTTGCAGCTCAGAAGCTGCTGGGCCGACAGCCGTTCTAGCTCGGTGCCATTAGAGAGAATCGCCAGTCTATCAGAGGCAGCCGCTGAAGACATAAGTAAATGTGTAAGTCACATGCGTGTAGTACGTAACTACGTAAGTATGTAAATACGTAAGTCTCGCGAGCGCATGCGTATACCTGCGCATATATTCACGCACATTATCTTTCTCTTACTCAATAGATCAGAGGAGAGAGGATTGATAACTCAAACAACTGACCTATCCGCTTCGAGTGACTAGCAGGCAGTTTTAGCCGATCAACGACGCAATAGGAGAGTTTTTAAAGCGCTGTTTAAAGTGCAGGCAAGTCGACGATTTAGCGCGTATGCGTGAAAAACGCGGATAATCAGTGTCTAGCTTAACACGCATAGCAACAATATCCAAGAATGGGTGTGGTTATCTCACAGGCGGTTATCACACAGTCCGTCATAACCAGTCGTAATATCTCGCTTAGGTGAGTTACCATCACACCAAGAGTGAATAAAATCCAAAGGAGCGTGTTAAATTATTGGAAACGTTCGTGGACTTTTATTCCCTCCTGGTCACATCGGGATCCTCAGCCCGGACTGTGCTTTGAGGTAATTAAGTTTATTACCTCTTGATCATGTATAGGACCAGGAGGGGATCACGAACAAGTATCTCCAGAAGATATGTTAGTCAGGATATGTTTATCAGGATGATCGGAAGCTCCTACTAGTACGTTCACACGCGATCCCATCAGTGCCAGACAATCCCGCGTGTACCCCACCGCGCGATAAACCAGTAATTGCGCTGGTGCGAGACAGAGGCGACACCTTTTGGTAGGAAAACAAGTTACCGGTTGTAGAGAACGCCCACGAGGCGTTACAGAGTTCCTGGTTCCTAATTGGTCCTACCCATTCTCCCCACTTGTCGCGGGCGTCGAAATTAGTCGGTAACTGCTTGGCCAAATCTTCATAGTTAATCTGAATTTGGATAGTAAAATATTGATGATATACAGATACCATAATGCAACTATAGAGCTGACTACAAGCCAGATGAAGAGCTACAGTACCGCCATCTAGTATATGTAGCTCCTTGCTGCTAACAACCTTTTGTGTGTAAAAGTCCTAAATTAATGTATATTATACCTGTATATCATATACATTCATAATATATATATATATATATATATATCAACGCTTACCGAAAGTTTTTATTGTTATACATCTTACCGGAACCATCGTAGAGATGAACTTATCCGGTTTCTTAGTTCCCAGCATGTAGGAAGACCCTTCGTCTAAGGTCAACGGAGAGAAGTGAGAGCCAGAGTACGTGTCAGCCCGCCATCTGAAAGAACACCCTGAACGTTGCTGTACTGTTTACAGCACAACCTGCTCCGTAGTAACACAGTCACATCTCTAAACCCGCATATAAATATTAGCTAGTCCGCAATGCTCACTATGGCGTTGTATAAAGAACTAGAGCACTCGGAGAGCGCAGACCTCCGCCAAGGAAGCTTAATTCTCTCACTGTGAAAAATTTAATTAATTAATTAAATAATTAATTGAATCCGGATCATCACCAAAATGTCACCAATTCTAAGTTACCCCATTTCTGACGTATCCTGAAAACTTAATTAATTAATTAATTAATTAATTGAATCCTGATCACCACCAAAATGTAATCAATTCTAAGTTACCCCATTTCTGACCTATCCTGAAAATTTAATTAATTAATTAATTAATTGGATCCTGATCACCACCAAAATGTAATCAATTCTAAGTTACCCCATTTCTGACCTATCCTGAAAATTTAATTAATTTATTGGATTCGGATCACCACCAAAATCTCATTAATTCTAAGTTAGCCCATTTCTGACCTATCCTGAAAATTTTATGACAATCCGTCCATAACTTTTTCAGTTAGGCAGCAACTTAGGCTGTACACAAACCCACAAACCAACAAACAAACACACGCCGGTGAAAACATAACCTCCTGCCCACCCCTTGGCGGAGGTAATAAGCACACATTCATGTCTATGTAAATGCCCCGCAGAGTCTGTAAGGGTTGACGCGCAAGGAGATAATAATGAATTCAAGTTGTAAGGAATAGTTAGTAATGGTTGCAATGCGAATATATCTGAGCGGTATACATTCCCAGTTGATTCGCACGCACACACGCACGCACGCACGCACGCACGCACGCACGCACGCGCGCGCGCGCGCGCGCGCACACACACACACACACACACACACACACACACACACACACACACACACACACACACACACAC